GTACTGAAGCTAAGCTCAAATCCTGCTACGTGGTACAGGCCTCTGGTGAATAAGTGTAGCACTTTGATTGGTTGTGTGTGGAAAAGGAGTCACTTGCTTATTGATTGGACCAAAGTCTTAAGATTGCAGAGATGGGTATGATGACGTGTAGAGAAAGTGTAATCTCTATTTGAGGAATTATGCACCAGCAGATATTAGTAAGACTGAGCACATCCACCACTGTTTTGAACTTGCATGATGCTTGTTTTGGGATATTAATGTAATTGACCCTTGAGCTGTCATGGTTTAAGTCTAAGACTGCATCTATATCTCCCCCTATGATAACAGTAAGGAATATGAGCTAAGTGTTACCAATTCACTGGATAGTGGTGGGAAGATTATTTGCATTGAACACAGAGGATGCATACGCAGAAACAAAAGCAAATTTCTTGTCTCCTATAGTGGTCTGTACTGGTATCTATTGTAAAGGTGCATTTTAGAGAAAGTAAGACAGTAAAGGCCTTAGTTGGAATGTTTTCACATTTTGTGTCAGGATGTGTGTGGTGAGGCAGGTTGGTGGACCCAAATGCAGGACTCAAGGCTGACAGGTACAGTTCAAGGGTTTTAATAAACGAATCAAAGGCAAGCACACTTACAAAGAGCGGCTGAGTCCAAAATCCAAATCCACAGAAAACAGGGTGACACGACAGGCAGGCAAACAGAACATCACACGACAGAGCATCTACACACGATAATGACCGGACAGGAAATGAACAGAAACACCAGACATTTATACACAGGGACTAACGAGCAGGGCGGGAGCAACACAGGTGGCTGGGATCAGGGTTAACGAGGCAGAGAGACAGCAGGGGGGGAACAGAGAGACGCAGATGCAAAACACAATTCATGAACAACAAGGAACACAGACTGAAGCAATGATAAAACAGAACTCAGATAGACATAGGCAAAACACAGAAGTACACAGACCGGGAGTGAACACTTAACACATAAACTAAGGTACAGGACTAAGAACTAAGATACGAGATAAGACAGATACTAAGTAACTTAAAGATGTGGATAACTGCAAAACCAGACACACAGACAGTACCAGACCAGCCAGCACAAATACACAGAGTAAACTAGACACCAGACATGACTGAAACCCAAAACACAGACAGACTACATAACAGATCAAAAACACAACACAGAAGTACAAGGACAAGGAGTAAATACTACGACATAAATACTAGACTGGGAACTAAGACATGGAACCAAAACACAGACTAAATAGCCGCTACAAACCCAAACCCTCAGAAAAAAAACCCGAAAACACAGCATACAGGACAGGATCGTGACATTTTGAATGAATGTGTTTTCCCAATAACTGCAAGACCTTTTGTTCTTGAACAAAGTGTGTAATGTTAGAAACTGTGTGTAGTGAATTGTGTGTTGCAGGATTGATTATAAAGTGTAAAGCTGAAAATGTGTTTGTACTTTTGGTGCCTGTGTGTAAGGCATGGTTTTCATGCTTTGGTATAAGCATTCAAAACTTTAATAGTAAATAGTACTACTAGACTAATATGGCTAATTGATGCACAGATTAACAATCATTAGTGTACAAGTTAAATAAACTGTTACGGCTATATGTGTTTCCCTGTGCTGCCTGTCCTTGTCCCTTCTGCTCTTCTGTCATTTCTAGCTCTGCCCCACGTGTGCTACACTGCCTTAGGGTGGGATGTGGAATTTTAACAAATGTATTGATTGTTTGTGTATTGCAGTTCACTTGAGTTTGGTGCTTCACCGCGGGGACGCTGGGTTGTTCCACCTTGTCCTTTACCTGTGAACACACAAATAACGTGCATGACTCTGTAGTAACAGAATATAATCTCCCAGTGTACACACCCACATTTAAACCTGCGAGACCCCGGGAATTATTTTGCCCGAACACAGTGGGAGACTGCAAACATAGGCCTTTCTGATTTTTCAGTTTGTTAAGCAGCTTATTATGTCTTATTAATGTACAGTAAAATGAAGTGCAACCTTTTATTGAAATAAATGTTGGACTGTTGGAATAACCTACATATTTCATCCCAGTAGCCATGGACTGTGATCCTCCAATGACGTCTCGTTACTTGCCAAACTGAACAGGATTCAACTTTCACCCACATATCCATGTGACTGATGCAACCCTCCACAGTGAATTCACAAATGCGCTGCAATTTAATTAGGTCGTAGACAGGAAATCATTGGAAATATGATGCCAGTTTATCAACAATGTTGACAAATGTAGACGCATCACGCAGTGCAAGTTAGCATGAAGACTCAATGCACTTCAAGTTGACTTATAAATTGGCTTGTTTTGTTGGTGAAAAGAAAGAACACAGACAAACACAGATTTGAGCATAATCTGCAGTGTTTACCCGGGCTGTTTTAAGCTTCTCTGTCCTGGCTATCAGCACAAACACTTATGTGTAAACTCTTGATTGTCAAGCATCCAAAACAAGCCTTGATAATCAAGCTGGAACTGGATACACTGAATTCTTTCACAATTTAAAACATACAAAACATAAAAACACATTTCAAATCTTGCATAATGCATTAAAAAGCTACAACAGATACCATAGGTCAAATAAGCAACTCCATTGTAAATAGTCACGTAATTCTGGTTTCTGGCAAAGTGGACCTTTGACGTGAAAAAAGACAGAAATCCAGCCACATTTCTTATCTGGCTGTTGACACACAAATGAGAACTTGTTGAACCTTTCTGGGTTGCTCCAATAAACTTCTACCTCATTTTAACTTTTTTATTCGGCTAAGTGCAAAAGCTTTATTGAGATGAGTTTTCATTATTATAACAGTATTACAGTCTTATTATTACAATATTTTTATTCTTATTATATCATACCACTTGTTATCGTGTTTTGTCATTTCTACACTCTATCTTGACATGGTGCCTCCTTATTGACATGACACACTTTCTTTAAATCAATACTGGAAGAATGCTTTTAAGTTTTATGAAAGGTCAACTCTGGAGGCTATTGGCAAAGTGAGGACACTTTATGAGGACATGACGTGTGTGTGTGTGTGTGTGTGTGTGTGTGTGTGTGTGTGTGTGTGTGTGTGTGTGTGTGTGTGTGTGTGTAGCTCTGTGAGTATGTGCTTGTTGTGTTCTGTCATCATCAATCAATGACCCGCCACGTGTTGTCTGTTGACTCACTGAGTCTGGGCAGCGACTCTGGTAATAAGGACCTTTATAAGTCAGACGAGAGGAGAAGTCAGTCTGCAGACCCTTGATCCACAGGTAAAGCCAGCCACTTTTTCAAATATTGATCTTCTTGTCTTCTGTATTAGACTAAGGGACTGTTTGTAAAAGGAATTATAGATCATTGATGCAAATGTTCAGCATTCAGTCATTTCTTCGTTGTAATGTGAAATTCACATGTATTTCTCTCATCTGTCCCTCCACAGAAAGCTAAACATGCATCTAAAAGCTGTGCTCCTCGCCCTGTCCTTCTTGACATCTTCAGGTATGCATGTCTCCTCAAATGCTGTTTAATACCCTTTATTTTGCACTGTACTTTGTTTTTTCATTTATGTTTGCTTTGTCTGTACTAGCATATCCACTCCACCGTAACACCAGGGAGGCAACCTGGACAGATTCAAAGGACAACAAGGCTCATGACAAGACAGAACGCACAAAGAATGTGGCGTAAGTTGACTAAACTTAGTATAGTAAAACAGTTAAAGACATGAAATTGATTTGCATCCATACACTCAAGTCAAGGTGAAATATTTAAATAAAATAATTATCCAAACACCTTCTAATGGAGTGCTTTTGTCTCTCTTTGCTCAGTCAAATCTATAAGAGCCACATAGACAGCAGTGATCTTTACAACCAAGATGATCACAGCAAAAACCCTGTGACAGATGAGATGCAACACAAAATCATCATGGAGTCGGAGCGTCTGCGTACCCGTTTGCGCCAAGAGCTGGCTGAGCTGCAGGAGAGATTGTCCACATCTGCCGCCCACCCCAGCTCCACCCTGGCCAACATGAGGGAGCGCTTGGCTCCCCTCATTCAGCAACTCCAGAGTTCTCTCAGCAGCAACACCCAAGATCTGTGTAGCCAGCTGAGTCTCTATCTGCAGGGCCTGGAGACAGCAGAGTCCCAGCCAGATGCCAGTCCGTCTCCCTATCAGGAAGCCTTCCTCTGGATTAGCCAAACACTGGAGCACAGCAGCTCCAAGGTGGCTGACATCATCAGCGACTTCCATTCTAAAACCATCCGGGTGATCGATCATCTTAAAGAGATCAGCTCTAGTGAGGAAGAGGCAACCAAGTCAGAGCTCTGGCGGGAAATAAGCTCCAGTTTGGGACAGGAAGTGAGTTCACTGAGGGTGGAGGCGCAGAACAGGGTGGAGACTCTCAAAGCAGAGCTTGCTGCTGTGCTAGAAACTGCACAGACTCATAAGGCTGAAGTGACAGCCAGCATGGAGCGGTTCTGCCAACATGCAGCCCTGCAGAGCAAAGTGTTTCAGGCAAGGATGGAGAGGCAGTTTGAAGGGCTGGAAGAGAAGCTGGAGGTCCAGGGAGTTTCCAGCCTGTCTGCTTCTTCGTCCTCCTCGCCCCTGCAGCCAGGTGGCTCTTTGCAGGAGGACTTTTCAATGAAACTCTCTGCTCTGATCCAAGACATACTGCACTCAGTGTAGTGACAGAGACAGCTGTACATTTTAAACAAAACACTACTAATTCACTGCCGTTATAGTCCCTTTTAAATGATTCATTTCACTTGAATTCTTGCCATTGTGTAGGCAAAGTGAGTAGCCTGTAAATATTTATAAATGCATGGTTTTGATTGATGTATTTGTTTCATTCTGTATGTGAAAGAGTGTGTAAATGTCAGTATTTACTGTTCCATGTAAAAAGATGCTGCTTGTAGAGAGTAAAGTTATTGACGATACAAATTGCTGTAATTATTTTTAACTACGTAATTTCAACCACAGAGAGAGTGCAACACCAACCTGATTTCAAACTTTATTTTTAATCTGTACAAAACATAGCAACAGACTTATAAGATGTAGATTCTATTTTGTTCAAAGCAATGCAATCAATATACAAGAGACCCAGAAATTGTTTCTAACAGGTCAGACTGTCAGTGGGCAGAAAAACAACCATTGCCAAAGCAAATTTCTAATAACATACAAAACCTTTTTTTTCTCTACAAATATTTCAGGTTTGTCTTCATTACAGATAAATGACTCCTGCATGCATATGCTAAGTATAGACAGAAAACATTACATCAGTATTTGCTTGGTCTCCATGGTCACCTGATCAGAACATTCGATTGCTACTGGAAAATTATCAGATTTTATGGTCTCACAATAAACATACAGTTACAACATGGTATGAGGCGATGAGGCGAAGACAGTTTGCCAGTTGATCTGTCAATCAAAGGCATGAGGTAATCGTCTTCAGGAGGATCCAGCCAACAGCAAGGCAGTAGTAGCCAAGCCAAACACCACTCCCACCACCAGGCCCGCCACGTTCACAACATTCCTCCCTGATGCCGCACTTTTACCTGATTCACGCAGAGTGAGATTAATGGAGATTACTACATGGATTATCGTAATATTTAACATTTATGTTATTTAATTTTTTTAAGATATTAACATTTATTTCAACAATGATGAATGTGATCAAAATATACTTACTGGATCCAGGTTCATATGGACTGGCTTTTGTAGGAAAGAATAAGAAAGTGAGTCAGTAAGAAAAAACTTTTCAACTTTTAATAAAGGTTCACTACAGTGGTGTTTTTTACTGGGTCTAACCTTGTCTGGCAGTGTAGAGAGGTCCAACTGAAACAGTGGCAGAATCACGGCTTTCTTCTCCAAAAGGAGTCAAAGATCTTTTTTTTCTCATATTATTACAGGCCTGAAAAACAACCAACATCAAACATCCAGTTGGGTTCAGTTTCATCTATGATGATAAAACTCGAAAAAGAAATCACAATGACCTGGGGTTGAAGGTGCTGACCATGAACCGCATCACCCTTGACTGGAATATGTTCAGCAAGGGCTGCTGTTGCAGTCATTTCCCATCTCTCTCCCTAAATTTCCTGTTTTTCCACAAATTTCTAACAACATTATCAGTAGCAACTATTAAATGTTTTAGGTTTATTGAGGCATTTAATGTGGCTCAATACTGAGGAGAAAACATTACAACTCCTAAGACTCCTAAAACAGGTAACCTGGTGATAAATTCAAAGCCATTCAAACCTGTGAAATATTGTCTTATGGGTACCTCACTTTGTCTGGTGTCTTTAAAGCAGAGTCATTTGTTCTTGACTTTTCAACTTACAGACAGCAGCTCTTGACATTTGCTTGGCTCACAGAGTCTCAGTATGCAGTGCAGATAGATGCTGGACATTGCCTGGTCACGGTGCTGAACAAAGCGGAAGGCTTCAAAGTTAAATCGGGCAACCGTAGAAATGCCATTGCTTGTCACAGTTGTCCTTTGGTCCACTGAACAGCTAGTGGAGAATTAATTAGATTTAGTTTATATTATGTATTTTCAGAAGTGAAATTATATTATTTCCCCCATGTATTAAGCTATACTAAGGATGTGTGCTCCATACCCAGTGAAGAAGTTTAACTGTTCATTTTGCGACATGTTGTAAGCAGAGGGAGTAGCAAAGCAGTGATCCAGCAGTACATTCAAACTGAAAACAGGACATTGGGCCAATGAGTAACTGTTTGCCACAAAAATACACTGTGCTTACTTTTATTTCAATATTTGTGTTCAGATGAACAATTTCACTATGAGCACCCACGTATCCAAATGGGCTTTGCTTACTTTCCTGTGAGGTTAACAGTCTTGACCTCCACATAGACCTTGCTCCGTAGCTGAAGTCCTGTTGGAGGTACCACTAACGGGTAGCTATAGTTAGTGTCCTGGAGAAATAAGACATTTCAATAACTTAAGTCAAGAGAAATGTCTCTATAGCATGTCTAAAGCAACTGAATGCCAGTTTGTACTTACATTAAAAACACTCATTTTCAGTGTATCAATGAAGGATCCATTATTATCACTGGTTGCCACAGAAACTGAGGAGCTAAAATACAATGGAAAAGAGAATTACTGCAAGTATATGTCAATGTCATGTGCTTAGATATTTACAACTTGCTTAAATAATCCTCTTAGAAATATCCTTTTTGCCAAATTTTGGCTTTTTTAAGTTGGACTGTTACTCACGCCACAATCCGTGTGTTGTTGATCAGGTACTCCAGCGGGTAGCGGCAGGAGAAGTGATAGTAGAGGTCTGTGGCGTAGCTGATCAACCCTAGGCTAGATCTGGGTGTGTCAATGTACCCTGTGATGATAACTGACTGGACACTTAAGAAGTTGCTGAAGGGACCTGTGGGGTCTGGGGCCTCATCCACAATCTGAACAAGACAACAAAAAACACAATTATTACATAACCTTCTGTATTGCCACATAACCCTCAATGAAATGTTCCGTTAAAATTCCTGTTGCAGTAAAAGCCCTGCAGCTAGTGTCTGTTTGACAACATGTCAGTATCTCCCTAATCTTTCCAGTGATTAAACATTATTCTGCTCATCTTCTGCCAGACATCCTCTGACCTGCAGAGACTGGCGACAGGGGTTATTCTGACTGCTGTTAACAGGAAGCTGGTAACGGATGATCGGAGGGTCCACACTGGTGTCGACCAAGCCCTGGCACTCCGAAGTATTGTGGTTTCCGTTCAGAGCCAGGTCTGTGCTGTTGAAGCCTGCCCACTGAGCCGTGCACAGGTTGATCTGCAGGGTGATGGTATTTGGGCCACAGTTAACTGTCAGGTCTGAATTTTCTATGAAAGAGGGGGAAGAGAAACCAAGGAGATTGAAAAGATAGCGCTGTTTTAATATTTTGATTTTGAGGCGAAATTAATATCTTTGCTGCTGCAAAGACCCAGGGGGAGTAATAGTTCACCTACCTGGGGTCCTGTCATATGTGGACGAGCAGTTGAAGAGACACAGAGCTGGCTGCAGGAACACAACCAGCAGAGGGAGGCAAAGGTAAAGAGTCATGCTGTCTGGAGGAGGCTCAGCCAGACAATCAGTCCTGTACTTAGATGAACAAACAATAAACAATTTCAACAATAATTTAAAAATACAACAAAATAAAACTTAAATAACATTTTAAACAGCCTCAGCGCAGAGGCACATAAATAGTGATTATTTAGAGAAAAAAATCAACGTACGATGGAACAATTTTTATGTGACTATAAATTCCAGCAAGAGATTGAGTTGCAAATTTGATTGAATTTAAAATCAATGCATTTTAAACCAATGTGACCAATGTGACAACCTGAGGAGGCCTTACCTTAGCTAGTACCTGAACAGGTGTCACAGAAGTGGCTTTTATAGTATTTGACAACTTTATGACACCTAAACCCTAGAGGTGTGACTCCTAAGACCTCCCTTCAACTAATTATAGACCCCTATGTACACACACACACACACACACACACACACATACACGAAAGCACACACACTTCCACATTTTTACCGTGACGTCTTGTTTAGTCAGTTGCAGCTCCTGGCAGTGTTCACTGTGAGATCTTTTAATCCAGCAGATTAACGTGTCAGTAGGATTTGACACAGTTCCCTCGGGTTAACTACATCTGCTGTTTCAGGTTTCCCTCCCTCAAAAATGATTATTGAAGAACAAAGTTGAACAACTTTTTAGTAGACAGTTAGCCATTACCAGATTTCATCCATATTTCTACTTTTTGCCCATTCAGGGCACAGGTACTAAAAAACCTGCAGGTTCTTGATTTAACACACTAACTATTGAATACAGTTGTGATTGGTAAAACGACTGAAAAGAGAAATTATTAAAACATAAATGCATTTTATATGCTACTTCTGATTATACTGTATTAATAACCCCATAAATAGCTGATACACTGCATTACAAATAAATCACAAATCTTCTTATTCAGAACCAAAAACGTCAACAATGCTTTTCTCTGAAAAAAGATCTGTCTTGAATAACAGATACATGTCTTGAGAATGAAACACCTTGAATGGCTGAAAGGTGATCATGCTTGTCATGCAATGAAATACTCAGCCAACCAAGACTAACCTTTGTTCATTTCCCTCTACATAGTAGCTATAGGCCACAGCTGCCACTGCGCAGAAGAAGCCCCATTGTTTCTGAGAAATCTAGAATGAAAATCTGAATCATTGTTTTTGCCAAAGTGCCCATGGTGAGAGAAGATATTTGTTACTGTATCCATAGACTCTTTTACAGTCTCTTTTGTCCTCGTCAGTGTCAGTGAGGATTTTACCTCCAAGCACACTTGTGCTTCCTGTGGAAATAACATTCTAATCACATTCTCCAGTTTGTTTTCCTATAACCTATAATAGTTGCTGGGTCAGAGATAATGTCTGGATCAAGATGTCTGATGCTCCGAATTGATGGGTCAGAATAAACCACAAATAACCCATCAAATAATCATGTGAACTGTTATTTGCACATATTTCTTTATAGTAAGTACATTTTTGAAAAGAACATATTGGTACCCCTGATGAAAACAATGTATTTCACATTTTAGGGATTTTGGTAGATAAACGAAGGATTAAGTGTTCCTTAATGGGGTGAGAAAATGTTCCTACTTTGGATTTTTTTAAATGCACGTCATAAAGCTGAAAACAGGGCTGACATTTTGGAGATACATTGCTGTCATTGGGCAGTGACAACATGTGCATTTTATTGACTTAAAAGTAACTGGCTACATTAGTATATTGTTATTAGAATTGGACAGAACAGAATAGAAATCAATCATACACTCACCTAAAGGATTATTAGGAACACCATACTAATATTGTGTTTGACCCCCTTTCGCCTTCAGAACTGCCTTAATTCTACGTGGCATTGATTCAACAAGGTGCTGAAAGCATTCTTTAGAAATGTTGGCCCATATTGATAGGATAGCATCTTGCAGTTGATGGAGATTTGTGGGATGCACATCCAGGGCACGAAGCTCCCATTCCACCACATCCCAAAGATGCTCTATTGGGTTGAGATCTGGTGACTGTGGGGGCCATTTTAGTACAGTGAACTCATTGTCATGTTCATGAAACCAATTTGAAATGATTCGAGCTTTGTGACATGGTGCATTATCCTGCTGGAAGTAGCCATCAGAGGATGGGTACATGGTGGCCATAAAGGGATGGACATAGTCAGAAACAATGCTCAGGCAGGCCGTGGCATTTAAACGATGCCCAATTGGCACTAAGGGGCCTAAAGTGTGCCAAGAAAACATCCCCCACACCATTACACCACCACCACCAGCCTGCACAGTGGTAACAAGGCATGATGGATCTATGTTCTCATTCTGTTTACGCCAAATTCTGACTCTACCATCTGAATGTCTCATGACTAATGACTCATCAGACCAGGCAACATTTTTCCAATCTTCAACTGTCCAATTTTGGTGAGCTCTTGCAAATTGTAGCCTCTTTTTCCTATTTGTAGTGGAGATGAGTACCCGGTGTGGTCTTCTGCTGTTGTAGCCCATCCGCCTCAAGGTTGTGCGTGTTGTGGCTTCACAAATGCTTTGCTGCATACCTCGGTTGTAACGAGTGGTTATCTCAGTCAAAGTTGCTCTTCTATCAGCTTGAATCAGTCGGCCCATTCTCCTCTGACCTCTAGCATCAACAAGGCATTTTCGCCCACAGGACTGCCGCATACTGGATGTTTTTCCCTTTTCACACCATTCTTTGTAAACCCTAGAAATGGTTGTGCGTGAAAATCCCAGTAACTGAGCAGATTGTGAAATACTCAGACCGGCCCGTCTGGCACCAACAACCATGTCACGCTCAAAATTGCTTAAATCACCTTTCTTTCCCATTCTGACATTCAGTTTGGAGTTCAGGAGATTGTCTTGACCAGGACCACACCCCTAAATGCATTGAACTGCCATGTGATTGGTTGATTAGATAATTGCATTAATGAGAAATTGAACAGGTGTTCCTAATAATCCTTTAGGTGAGTATAATCTAACCATTTTATTTAGTATGGAGGCTAAAATTAGACTGGCAAGATCATTATGACAGTGTGTTGTGTGCATGAGTAGTGCACATCTTTCATTTCACCAGGATCTAGTTAGTGACATACAATCACATTGGAAAACAATGATAACAAGGCCTAGGGCAGGAGAGAGATTTAGTTTGGTAAGAAAGAGGATACACTGGGAAGCTTGTGAGGAGATGGTGCTGTACTCTGGGGGAATATAGCATATCACATAAACAACTAACTGAGTAGTAAATGCGTTTAAAAATCGTTAACAAAATTCCAGAGGAGTTTTTGTCTCTTCTGTTGTTTACCTACTTGTGTATCAATAATTAGCTGCATGCATTTCCTCTTATGACAAAATGTTGTTACCATGCTGTAATCACATGAAATATTGCCGGGCACATTTAAATTGTTTTTGCTGAGAATACATAATCAATATGTACAAATTCTATAAATCTCTAAAAGTAAAAGTTCTGCATTTAGCAGGAAGAAGGAGATAACAGAGAAGCACAATGTATGTTCCACATAGAAATGTATTTGTAACAATACAAATATCAATAACAGCAATATTGTCATAACAATGAGCAATAATATCCAAAGAAGGTTAAACTCAAGGGCAACTGGACTTGGCTGAAGACACGAGAAGACGTTTCGTCCCTCATCAGAGAGACTTCTTCAGGTCTGACTGACTGGTAGGGAAACTCAGCTCTTTGACCTCTGTGGGGTTGTTTGCCAGGATCGTCGATACCGTTGGTTCGTGCTCCTGGCTGTTGTACCAACAGTCGTTATGGTTGTTAGAACCACCCCAGGCCAAGTCTGAACGACCATGGTTGGTATCTTCACCTGAGGCCAAGAGGTTACGTTTGTTAAGTTTCCTGGGAAGTGATGAAAGGACAGCATTGTAAGTGGGGGATAAGTGGTGGCGCAGACCCCCTCCTCTGTTCAGCAACGGTTTCTCAACCCAGGTGTAAATGGCTTCCTTGACACCTCTTTCAAACCATCCATAAGAATGCATAGAGATGGAGATGGAGAAGAGGAGAGAGGAGCTCAGTGCATCATGGGAAGTCTAGGCCTGACAATAAGGATTTGCAATAATCCAGCCCAGAAGTAACAAATGCTAGGACTAGTTTTCCTGCATCATTTTGAGACAGGATGTGTCTGATGTTTCATTGGTGAAAAAATAGCATTCCTTGAAGTTTGTTTTATGTGGTAGTCAAAGGACATATCCTGATCAAAGATAACATTGAGATGGTGATGGAGGCAAAGGCGATGCCATCCAGAGAAAGAAGAAGAAACAACTCTGCTACTCAAATTTATAATTATGTTGTTGGACTACTTTTTGAGAAATACTGGATAAATTTAATAGTTATTTAAATTAAATAATCTGAGAAGTTTAGAGGGGAATTGTTTCTTTGGTGGAACGACAAGGAGTCACAACAAGATGCATGTTGTGTTTTATAAGCTCATAATGTGTGTTTTTAATGTAAAATCTTATAAGCAACCATTAACTCCAGCTGTCAGATAAATTGTGCTGCAGTAAAAGTACAATATTGTCCTCTGAAACGTAGTAGTACAGTAATTTGCATTAAGCGGAAATACTTCAGTGAAGCACCATTACATCAAAACTGTATTACAGTAACTGTAAACATACTTAGTTACTTTCCGCCACAGATGTCACTGGACAATAACTGAAAAAGGAGTTTCTGCTTAGCCTTATTTCACCAGTCTGAAATGAGTGTGGTGTCATCTGCTGGCCAAAGTTAGACAGAGCTCAAATGCCTTGTTGTCTGCGTCGCACTGGTGGTGATTCACCAGTGTTGAGGAGTCCATGCCAAGAGAAACAAAGTCCTCCTCAAAGAACAGACAGCACAGTGACAGCCATTCTGTTTTTGGTTCTCAAAAAACATAGACACCCTTTCGAAGTAAAAAAGTGTAAATAATCTTGAATTAACAAAGTCACAAACATAAAAGTAATTTGGAGTAAATAGAAAATCATGTTCTGTTCCCCACCAACTGGGTGCAAAGTGTGCAACTGCTCCAGGTAGTTTTTAGAAAGTGTTTTTTAGTTTTTTTTTAGTTTTTTATTTGTTTACTCACGCATAATCCTAGATTATCTGGTGTCCATTTGCTCATTTTTCACTCAGGGCCCCCCAGCAGGTTAATTAAATCAGATGTGTCCCAAATCCTGAAGGAGAAGTTTTTAATCTGCAAAACAGTAAGTCTGTTTATACAATTATTTTTGTTTTTAAATGTTCCTTTCTTGATTTGTTATGTGGCCATCCTGATTGCAAATCAATCAATATGCTTTTTTTGTTTTGTTTAATTACTTAGTAACAGTTGTATATACAGTCCAACATTAAAGTCCTGCATTCCTGTTTAGTGAATAATCTCTGAGCCTGCAGCCCAATAATAAACACAGTGATGATGTGAGAAAAGCTAAACAGCAGAGTGTATGTTTATAAAACACAGCCACAGCTCTTCATCACATGACAAACATTTTTCGCGCTACGACCAATAATCAAATGAACTTTAGAGGCTTTGAAAATCTAAAACAAGCATCCAGAGGCTCAGTCTTATAACAAGACTCCCACATAACGCACACTTGTGTTTCCAGCAGAGACAGACAGAGCGAGGGCCTTAAGCCAGGTAGTAGACAACAGGCCTACACACAGAAAAGCAGCCTGTGATTATCTGTCCTCTCTCAACTCTCCGCAGAAAGGAACTGGTGTTTATTACTCCGCTTCCAATGTCATCTATTGATGGATGTTGTTAAAAACCCTCCAACACAGTAGGAGGATAACCTACAGGCTGTGGTGAGGTTAAAGCTGACTTCTGTGTTATGTGTCTATGTGTCATGTAACAACTTCTCCTGTTTAAAGAAATCTTTCAACATATTTTATCATCATGTACTGTACATTGTGTCACAGTAGTAGATACAGTAACATGGGCTGCAGATGTAAGCCTGCAATAAAAAACTATGGAAGGTGTGAGAGACCTAAAAAGAGGACATCATGGCAGATTATCATCATTTTGTCCCTTCTGTTTGGTCAGTTTTCTTTACTCATCATTTTCCCATCTGTGTTTTCTACATTTGCTTCTTTTTAGTGGGGAAATGTGAGGTTTAGTGAAATAAGTGTGTAGTTTGGTGCAGCGTGTGAAAGCCCTTAGTAGTGGGGGTTTATACTAAAGAAATGTGAGAGTAAGCAGAGGAGAAAAACTGTTTTTTTGAGCTAATAAGTAGATGGGTGACAAAACCAACATGCCCCCCATAGGTGTTGAGTTGGGTTGATATCTGGCAATTGCAAAGGCCTTGGCATATGATTCACATAATTTTTATATCATTAAACCATTCAGTGACCCTTCGTGTTCACCGTGTAAGTTAATATTGTCATCCAGGAGGAGATTACCGCTATTAGGATTGAAATGTAGAGGGCTAAATGATCATCTGTGCCATTTGCTGCTATTATGGTGTATATATATATATATATATATATATATATATATTTGTGAAGAACAGATGGGTCTCAGATTGGGTCTCACAAACACAAATACAAACAGCAATGAAGTGCTGAGGACTGTCTTGTCTAACCACAACAAAAACAACAACAGTGGCTTACTTTCACTCAACCATAACTAAAGCAGGCCTCCATTTAACCTGTCACCCTCTCAGTCTTTCTGGGAAACTTTCAGTCTTATGATCTTGCTGAATTAAGCAGTGTAAAATGATTTATTTTTGTTGCCTAACCCACGACTACTCCAGACTTTCGCAATCAATTTATATTCTGGAAATGAAGCCGCAGTGCCTGGAAACCAAACCAAAGCAAAGCCATGAACAGGAAGTATGGTTCTGAAAAAAAAATCCTTTCCTCTTCCTCCTCTGCATGCTTTCCTGTTCCATGGGCAATCTCTCGCTCTCTTCTTCTTTATCTCTTCCTCTGTCCCTATCTTGCTCTCTGTCCTTGCTGTGTGTCTCCTTTGCATGGTGTTTCCACAGTGTGCTCTGAGTCAGTTTCCTTTTAAGTGCTTACACTTGCTTAACTGGAGATTTGGATATTTTATTTAGCCATGGGACTCACCAGTAACATCAGACATGTGGTCGATAAACTTCAAGTCACACAAGCTTAGCGTTTACCAGACAAAAGGAAATACTGGGTTGTGCTTCTAACACGCACCATTTAAGTTTTTGAGTCAACCTTGTTTCCATTTCTGTTTTTTCGCTTAATTTTCTCCTGAGCTGTTTTCCCCAGACAGCAGTCAATCGTCTGTGTGTGTGTGTGTGTGTGTGTGGAATAAGAATGAAACATACTCACTCTTTTTTTTAATACAGGGAGCATGATACATAGTGTGTGCACAAAGAACTCTATTCATTCCATTATAATGTCGTTACTATGAGTGAAATGGGATTTTGCTAATTTAGTTAGTATTAGCTGTGTTGGGACAGAGGCTGCACACTGACTGCACGAATACATACCTCAGTGGTTTTGAGTTTACATCTAGGGGGGAAAGAACAGCTGAAAAGAATCAATACTTTGTCTTGTTCAAAGTAAAAATCTTGGGACTATCTCGCTCCTGTTTTCTTTTTTTCCCCCTCAGCCAGACGCCATATGCACGCCTTCACTGGTCGACCCACTTTTGACTGGACAGACTCTGCTCCCTCTATCATTAGACTGTGTTTATCAAAGGCTTTGAAATCTGGAGTTCGTCTATCAAGCCAGTTTATACTTTTTAAAGCTAATCGTTCAGCACACTCAGGCGAACATGTAGAGATGGATTTTATGAAGCTGTTTGGCACCGTAATCGCAGTTTTGTTGCACCCTGGATCCGTTTCTAAAGTAAATGGTAAGAACCTACGAACGAAAACTCTCTGTTTAAACTCTGTTGAGACAGTGTTAATACTGTGTGTTTCATTTCCAAGGTGAGACTTCGACTTGTTTGTTTTAACCGAGAATGTTTTGTGCATTTTTGAAAGTGGTTTGCGGTTACAAGGTTGATGCCAGTGCCACCATAAAGAAGCCTAAAGCACACAGTGTTTTGCATTATAAGCTGCGCTTAAACGCATCACAGCAGCACGCTCGTGATGGGGTGGAAAGTGAACATCAACAGACTGTTTGCGATTCAGATCACTGATATGAAGTCGGGAGGTCGCATCGTCACTGATAACGATGCGACTTAGCTTTGTATAAAGGGATCACAAGAAACAAACAAAAAAAAACGGTTGTGAATCATTGGGTTAATATATTGGCTGTCTGTTTATTGGTTGAGGAATAAAAAATAAAAAAAACACATATTACCTACAAGTGATTTGCTATCAGTGCCTTTAGACAATCACCATACATTGTGACAAAATAAAACAACTTCAGTCAATTATTAACCTACTTATTGTGCCACCTCAGCAAACCACTGCATTTTAGACATGCTCACACATATTTAAAATGTTTCTTTTCACAATCTGTGAACTAGTGCAATATGGTATCAACATTAGTTTGATAGGCACAAGACTAATCTGGAAAGAACTAATATTTTTTGAACCCTTAAAAATAAAGATTTTAGGTAATATTTCACAACCATTTAACTGTACTTATGTTGCGGGAAAATGTGGGAAGAACTTGGCAAAACATGTCTGGTTTCAAATTTGTCCATGATACTGTAGGTTGTTTGTAATCATGTCATGTGGGTGAACAGGAAGTCTTCAGAAAACAAAACAACCTTATCCTATTATCTCCCCAATCCTGACTGTGGTGTCTAGGCCAAAGGATCTGTCGGCACGGGACAGAGCGCCCATGCTACAAGGTGTCCTACATCCAGGACAGCAGACAGAGGCTGACCTTTGAGGATGCCAGGCAGGCCTGTAGGTTGGATGGAGGCGACTTGCTCAGCATTGAAACAGAAAGCGAGCAACAGCTGATGGAGAGGTTCATACAACAGCTGCAGGCTGGAGATGGAGACTTCTGGATCGGGCTCCGCCGCAGCCCACAGCAGTACAGGGCAGGGACCACAAGCCCAGGTTGCCCCTCGCAGTACTATTGGCTGGATGGAAGCAAGGCCAAGTTCAGGTCTTTCTCACTTTTCTAACATTTCTTTATGCATTAATGTTTTGGCTGCATCAGTGAAAACGGTATGAGCGAAGCCGTAGTCACCTGTGACTTACAAAGGATTATTGGAATAAATAATGCGAGTGATGGATGTCTACAGAATTTGGGAATGAGAGAAATAAATATAAAGTAAGGCTTTGCGCGTATAAATGTAAATTGCAAATTTAAACATGATACATGTCTAAACTTGTGCATCTTATTTGCTGCAGGAACTGGCATTGGGATGAGCCATCTTGTGGTGAAGAAATGTGTGTGGTTCTGTACCATCAGCCCTCTGCGCCACCTGACGAAGAAGGTCATTTCCTGTTCCAGTGGAATGATGACAACTGCAACTCCAAGAACAACTTTGTCTGCAAATATCCTGAAAGTGAGCCAGTAGATCACAACTGCTGTGCAGTGCTGGGAATTATAGACATTTGGCAGTCTTGATTTTGTTTGGTTGTTGAATCCACAGAATCTGAATTTTATCTTCCGAAAACTAGTACTAAAATGTGACCACTGCTGTCAACAGCTAGTGCTAAATAAGGAATGTGCAATTGTAATGTTGATGGCCTGGATTTCTGTAATGTTTTGGTTTCTGGCAACCTAAATAGATATATATGGCTGTGTTTAATACCTGATCATTTAAATATTTATTATAAACGTATTGGATTTTTACTTGTCTGTGGATCTCCTCATGGTCCTTTAATTTTACTTCCTTTTTCTAATGGTTGTTTACCCTTTCTTTCTATTTTGGATGTGAAGCATTTTTTTAGATGCGTGCCTTTATTTATTTTATCTTGTTTTATTAGTTAAGTGAAGCAGCAGTGTATGCATACTTATATTATATCACTCTATATATAAAGGATTAAATGGCTGGATAATGTACTGAAAGATGAACTTACTTAGTTATTTTCTCTGTCTTTTGCAGAAAAAGTACCAGTACTTACTGAGAAAGAGAACACAGCACATGCAGGTACAACATGCACTTGAGTACCACACACATACTGTCCATGTATGCGTTTTGTTTCTGTGGGAGACATAACAAGCTACTGCAGATGTGGTTACACTTAGATCAAGAGAAGTCAGACTAAACCACAACATCACTACTTTTTATCACTTTTTTGTAAACTTCCTTTTGTGTAAATAAAGGCCTATAGTGGTATTTTAAGATTTGGGCGGTTTACATTGTATAATCTGCCGATCACATATTGTGCAGTATGGTGCATGAATGGTGTAGTGAGCCTTGTAGCAAATAACTGTCTATTTCAATTCAAGATAGATGTTATTCAGAAAACAAATAGTCAGCTTATACAACACATGTATTCACATACATTCTGAAAAACTTCAAATGGGCTATTCTAAATTTGCATAACAAATAAACAGGGGAACACCAACAATTAGGCACATTCCAATAAATGGACTACATTACATATAATACTTTTAATATTTCAAATCATACTTGCTTCTTTTGTTCAAATCTGCAATGGTTATATATATAAATGTGTCATATTTTTTCTCGTCATTTTCAACTGATGATGTTCATTTGTTTTCTGAATGCTGTAGTTCCATCTCTGAGGCCAAGCTTATTCTCGACGACAGAAAGTGACAAGAGGGTAAAAATAGGCCTACCCGAGCCATCAGGTAATAAAAGAAGAAAATGCAAAAAAATCCATTTTTTATTTGTGATACTTAGAGTTAATACCCTTCTAAATCCTTCTAAACTTCTAAAAATGTTTATATTTTAAGTAGCAACAGAATCATAAAAGAAGTTATGGCAAGTAATGTTCTTTCCTTTGCAGTATCGCTCTCAGACAACACCCTGTATGTTTCCTACATCCTTTATGCAACTATCCCTGCTCTACTGCTGCTGCTGTTTGCAGCTGCTGGGTTCTTCTGCTACAAACAGCGCGCTAAGAGGTAAAAAGAAATTATACTAAATATATTATACTAAAAACCATACCATGTCAGCTTTACTACAAATGCAGATGCAAATGCAGAGTAATACTTTGACATATTAAGAAGCATTTTAGAAGAGAAGTTAATATATGTGTATAATACATGTATGAAACATCAATATCAATTTACTCAGTTTTGGCCAATGTAATGCCTCTTGTATCTTTGGTCTTAGAGAAGTTTGTGGTTAGAAACCTGTAGGGAAATGTGCTTTCTCACTTAATGTTGTCTGTGAAATTGTAATGTCGCTGATGAGCAGTGTGTCTCTCTTTAAGTTGTGTTGTGTCTTTCATATTCAGGAGGAAGACAGAAACAGAAAGCTACCCCAGCAGATCAAAACAGTGGATGTCAACAACAGCTTCACCTTGTGCCATGCAAGGACCCTACGCCTTTAGTGACATTACCAAACTGCCTCACACTGGTCTGGACAGCAGCATGCCAGCTGACATCATGACAAAGTACTTCTGCACTCCTTCCCAGGACTCCCAGTGTGACGATTATGAGAATGTTTCATGCACAGACAGGGAGAGTGGCTTTGTGACCAATGACATCTATGAGACCTGCAAAGCTCAAAGCCGCCGCTGCCACAGTCAGACTGGTTGGGTAGAAAATGAGATCTATGGATAACACTTTTGATGCCCATCTGGTCTCTGTGAGTGTCTGTCAGCTAGACAGAGGAACACAGGTTTATGCATCCCTTTCTTCCTGTACACCCGACTGGTTATTTGTGTGGTGCAGGATTATTAAACACTTGGCTGTGTCAGCATGGACTTAGATTATCTGAACACAGATCTCCTGTGTGTATCTTTAGGGATGCATCCTGAGAAGCCAGCATCCAAAGTTGCAAGTTAGATTAATGCTTAAAGCAGGGTTTCCCAAAGTTTTGTAAAGTGTGCCTCAACATTTAGGTCCCCAACTCACCTGAACCCAACCAATAGAAAGTTCTCAAATTGTTCATCAAATTATAAATGGTGTACCTTTGGGTTCAATAGAAATTTTGATGGGTTGTATAAAAATTATAATATATTATATATATAATATATAGGGCGGCACGGTGGTGCGGTGGTTAGCACTGTCGCCTCACAGCAAGAAGGTTGTGGGTTCAAATCCCGATTGCCTTTCTGTGTGGTGTTTGCATGTTCTCTCCAGGTGCTCCGGCTTCCTCCCACCATCCAAAGACATGCTGGCTAGGTTGATCAGTTACCTTAAAATTGTCCTTAGGTGTGAGTGGTTGTTCGTCTATGTGTGGCCCTGCAATGGACTGGCAACCTGCACAGGGTGTACCTTGTGCCTGATGTCAGCTGGGATTGGCTCCAGCCCCCCCCGCGACCCTGTACGCAGGATAAGCGGTTGATGATGGATGGATAGATGGATATATATATATTTTTAAATTGTATCAATTAATTGTATTAAGACTAAGATTAGATATCTGTGCTAGCAGCTCTGTGAGGCTGTGTTTAGGCCTAGTGCTACTTTGAGCTAAATGTTAGCAGGTATAACGTTCACCATGTTCACCATCTTAGGTGTGTTAGCATGCTAACATTTGCTAATAAGCACTAAACATAAAGTACAGCTAAGGCTGCTGGGAATGTCATTTGTTTTCCAGGTATTTGGGTATAAACTAAAGTATAAAATAGATGGAAAGTTAGGGGATCAACAAAGTTATTATAATCCTGAGGGGGACATGATGGTAGTCCATCCAATTACTGTTCAGACACTTCACTTAAAACCATAAATGACAACCATATGGTGGCATTAATGTCATTACAATACATCATCCAGACAAATTCTCTGACACATTATGGAACTTCACAGCAGCACTAAGGCTTTGGTTTCAGACAGGCATTAATGAACTCAAATAAGCAGAAATGAGTCAGATCAGTTTTGCAGTGCTGCTATATTTGGCACGGTGAATTGCACAGTTCAACCTGGAAATAAGTACAAGTTTTGAGGACTCACGCAGGGTTACTCATGTTATAAACAATCCAAAATTAAACTACTCAGCCATTCAGCCTGCTCACGTCACGATATGAGACACAGGGACAAAAGATCCTGTTGGCACTGTATGGCAGTGAAATTGTCTTTTTTTATTCTGACCTTTTCCCTAAACCTGAAAAGTGGTGTCAGCCCTGTGTAAGCCTTCCTGTTTGGACTCTGATGTCAGGGAACAGGACAGTACATGTGGAAAAACTGATGACAGAACTCTGCTGACCCCAGCAAGCCTCAAAGCTGTGGGCATTCCCAACTCCACCTGACTGTGTGAGAAACTGAACCCTCCCACTGATCTGACAACATAGACTTTTTAGGACCAGTTTGGAATTTGCCATGGACTCATTCATCAGTGTTGCTTGTATAAACAAATGCCTGCCTTTTAAATTTGTAAAATAATCATGGATATACATTACTGAACACAAATGCCTGTGTTATTTCTGAGTGTGTACTGAGTGGGCTGTTGAGTCTTGGCGTCTCGGAAAGATGTAGCAAGCCCAGTAAGGAGAGGCTGAGTGTGTTCTTGGAGAATGTTAGACAGGAAATGCCAAAAGCACATCTGGAACTCTTACATTCAGGAAGTCTATGCGTGACAGCGGAGAGGCCTTCGAAGCGCTGCTTTGCCTGCCCGCTTAGTAATCCGTTGTTATGTGTTTGACTGTCACTGCATGAGCTGAAGAGAACAACTGCTGGGTGTGAACGTGTGCCGTATGTATCGCAAACATGAAGTGAGTTTTGGGTGTCAAATAAAGTTTGGGCTGATGAAGATGCACTCCTTGGGTATATATTCAAATGCATGTGTAGGGGAGTGTGTGACATTAAATGTGTGTGAATGTAAAACGCCTGTTACTAAAGCACAAATACTACTGTACTGAACAAAATTTCAAAAAGAAACGTTTGGCCTTGCTTTAATTACCTGTTTTTGCCAACAGATGGTGCTGTTATGTAGCTGACCAAAGCGTCTTTGTGGCTGATAAATGTCCAGTTTCACATGAGGTCCTTGCATGTTACATTATATAATGTTAGATATTGTAACATAGGGGATTTGTACTGCCCATTGCAATATTTTCTGGATTAAATAACTGAAAGTACACATGCTGTGAAATATAATTGTTTTCTTTTTTATATATAGCATATATATATAAATATATATTAAATAATTGCATATTGTTTAAAAAGTCCACTCATTCTTGCAGAGCACATTACTTTAAGCAGTTAAAATGGGGTCAGTTTCAGGCTGATGCAGAATGAATTTAACCCTTTTCCCTTGGCGTTTTTTCACTCGCAGCCGACAAAAGCTCATTGAACACCTGCAGGGCAAAACTTCAAAGTTACCAATGCGTGCAATCAGGGAAGTGCAGGCGAGCAAACAGATTTCAGAATAGCAATTTTACCGGTTGACGTAAGAGGTGGGTCTGGTTGTCTTGGCAACCAATTGGCACTGAAGTGTGGAGCGGCTCCGTGGCCCCGCCCCCTGAACAAATACCCCTATGGCTTTGACGTCAATACACGTCAACCAGAGAACATGATGCCTCTTTGCAAGTCAACTCGTGCGCTCTGTAGCTGATAGAGGCACCTCAAGCTGAAATATTATAGCTCTATTGTATTGGAGAACGTGGTGTGACAAGCCCCGGGGATCAGCAAATGGCCTGCTTCGTACCGCCGCGCTGACGGAAGAGCGTCGCCACATTGGCGTTCAAGCTGGCAGCGGCGACACAGAAAATCAACTTTGTCTATTTTTAATGGACACGCTCCGAGCGGTGGCGGCAGCAGCAGCAGCAGCAGCAGCGGCGGCGGGCTGTTTGTTTTTCTTTCGTCTTTATCTGTAGCTGCCTAGCAAGTCCTTGTGAGCCCCCCCCCCCCTCCCTCCGTGTGTCCCCTGCTCGTCTGGCTACCCCCGACTCTTCCACTAACAGTCCCAGTCAAAACAGCATGGTCATGGCTGACAGTGTCCAAAAACCGCTGATCCGAGGTCCGGTCCGAGTGGGCTTCTATGACATCGAGCGCACTTTAGGAAAGGGTAATTTCGCTGTCGTGAAGCTGGCTCGACATCGCATAACCAAGACCGAGGTGAGTGTGTCGGAGAACTAGTTAGCCTGAAAGCTAACTTAGGCTACTGTTCGGCTGAGTTACATAACTTTTATGCACTAGTTGACACCATAGATATTCATAGCAGATACCGAAATGCTGTCCACATCATGCACTAAGAGAAACTTGGATCACGTAACTGCCGGGGCCACTTGGCTGCTCCAGTGTGAGCAACAGCTGGTATGTTTGAATCCTGCAGGTACAGGAGCAACGACAAGACTGCACGTTCACCCCCCTCACCCCCTCAGCCCACATCACTGCCAGTAAGAGGTCTGACCACCAGTGCTGGGAAACACAAACTGTAAACATGCAAGCTTTCTTTCCTACTTCCAGACCAGCAGCATACACCTGTGCTCCTTTTGGTAATGACCCAGACAGTGCCACAGTGTATGGACTCAAGAGTCTAGCTGGTGTAAACATCCTTGTTGCTGTATCTGGGGCATGCAGCATGGGTTGGTTGCCCCATTATGTAATCCAAATAATGATGAGATTTAGTGGTTTATTCTGCAGTGAGCTTTGTGAGGAGTGGGATATGGCAGCCAGAGCTCGGTAATTGGAAAGTGTTCTGCACACATGTATGTAGATGGCAATCCACTGACACTGCTCTGGGCTCTCCACTTCCTCTGCACACTCTCAAGCGATCTACATGAGCGCGGGAGGAACAGCGCTTGGATTTGTCTGAGTTTACCAATAGTTTTATGTCAGCTCTCTACAGAGATGCCTTTCTTGACCAGTGTCACTGAGTGCCATGGCTTTCTGTTGTAATGAAATGAGACACAGGGGTTTAATTTAGAGAGTGTTTCCAGTATGTATGTGTGTGAGGAGGCTGTGTTGTGTGAGACGGAGGGGGAGAGACAGAAAAATTGCTGTGAGGACTTGTGAAAACACAGTTGCACTCTTCAGAGTCACCAACGGCTTGTCGTTGAACGTTTGCAATCGCACGGTACAGAAAAACAAAGATTTACATCATCCAGATGAGGCCCTTGATAGGGTGACCGAATAACAAGGCAAGAAAACTGCTCTTTAGACTCTTATGGTTTTAATCAGGTTTTTAAAACGTGTGAAGGGACCCAGCTGTGTTCATGCATGTTTTAAATTCAGACACTACACCCGGTGTGGCTGCACATCTCCCTCAGCTGGCGTGATATTTCGATTGAATGAAAACATGCAGGTTGCTGGTGGTTTTTAAGGCCACGGATTTGGTAGAGGTCACTCAGCGCAGGTCGGTACACAGAGAGCTACTGCAGCTGTTTGGCTCGGCCCAGGCCCATGGCTGGAGCCAGGGTGTTCGTTAGAGTGGCCAAGGTCAGCTGGAGAGGCAGGCTATCAACTTTATGCGAAGCCATCTGGCTTGAGTATTTGCCAGGGCAAACGAGATGTTAGCCTGGAGCGTGTATGTAAAGAAAACCAGAGTTTAATGACACATGAAACAGCAGATCTGGTGCGTTTGCGTGCCTGTTCCTAAATAGGTGTACCTGTGTGTGCATAACCTATTTCTTCTACTCATGGCTCCTGCGTAACACTAACCCATTCTTCCCATTATGTGGATATTACATGGGCTTAGAGGTTCACATAGTGCTGGTCCATGCCCATGTGGTCCCGTCTGTCAGCAGGTCATACATTTATCCATCTCTGATCATAGCATTGTCCTGCCTTTCTGCTCTCATTACTTGTATAAGCTAAATTCCCCTTGAAGTCATTGTCCTATAATGACCTTCAGAGATCACAAGAAGTCTTATATTGTGTGTGTTAGTACTGTTGACAGTGGAATCAGTTAGCTCAGATCTTTTCATGCTGAGTACCCTGTAATCCCTCTGTACTCCGCCAGTGATTTTAAATTGTATGCCCTAACGAGGTATCGACTTGTAGCTGGAGTGCCATTAAAAGATTTGGATTTCTTCATAGGATTTAACGGCAAATTGCATACTTGACTGTACCGCCAGTAGGGAGATAATAATGGAGAGTGTTAAACGCATCAAAACACACACTACTACACATCTGTGAGTGCTAACTACAAATATGCTAAAGAGGATCAAAGGAGGCTATGTTCAGACTGACATGAGTACCGCATGAAAGCCCTCGTATTTATTTCAATGATACCACTGCAGTGACACAGCAGGATTGCCAGCACTGAAAATGCAGGGTCATCTAGCAGAAAACATTTGACCTGTGGCGCAACACAGTGGGACGTCAGCTGGCGATGCACTGCGATTGCCAGTCAAGTACATGCAATTGCGCATTCCCTGTAGAATACTTTGTAACGTGAACAGGGTCATTTCACAGATTACCTGATGATCCTCAAGATGGAGGACAGAATGATCTTCACTGTGATAAGTTTCCAGAGTGAAATCCTGTGTCACAGACATTCAAGTGCCATGCAGTTTTATGGCATCCGATAAACCTTGAAACTCATGGATCTATTACTTAAACTTAGATTCTGTTTGTTTTATTATCTCACCTACGGCCACAACTAGTGATTGCTCTTTTTTTATTGCTGTAGTTTCTGAATGAATTTATTAATTTATGGTGCTCTAGTGTATCAACACCAGAGCAGCCCCTTACATTTCCTTTTAATGCTGTCCTGTTTTCAGTCTGAATGTTCAGCAAGAGTTTTTTGAGAGTGGGGCGATGGCTGAGAGGGGAACTGGGGTCTCCTGTTGTTTACTCCTCCAGCTTGGCTCACAGACGCTTGGAACACTTCAGATCACACTGATGAAATGTTGTTTATTAGACAGTCTGGAGGAGAGATGTTAATATTGCCTTGTTACCTACCGGACATCATTAATCAAAGGTGTGTGTGTGTGTGTGCCTTCATGGGATATTTCATCATGACTGAAACTTCAAGACTGTTTATGAAGGTTTCAGCACAAGTTGTGTTTAAGTATTTATCTTGTGTCTCGAAAACAGTTTTCTGTTCTCACAGCTGAAAAGAACACACTGTCTCCTTCATGGAGAATATTCAATTTCTGTCTGTACTAGTGTGAGTGCAGGGAGATGTTTCGTATTACCTATCAAGTCTGATGAGCCGTAACAATGATTGTTTGTTATTAAGAAACAGACTGATTATAGTTGTTTTGATGCTCGATCATTCTGCAGGTGGCCATTAAGATCATCGACAAGACCCAACTGGATGCTGTTAACTTGGAGAAGATCTACAGAGAAGTTCAGATCATGAAGATGCTGGACCACCCCCACATCATCAAGCTGTACCAGGTGAGTTTCAAACTTCTGTAAGTGTTACCTAAAGTAGTTCGACATCTTTTGACTGCCTAACATCCAAGATGTGAGCAAAAATCTTTTTTAGTGGTGCTGCTTTCCTCTCTCTACTTTCACTGACTTATACTATACATATTTTCTATCTTCCTCTGGACTTTTGTCTATCTAATGGAAAAAATCTTTCTAAGCTGTTATCTCCCACGTTGCAATGCTGTGTCATCTGGTTTGTGTTTTTTTTCTTTTGTAACCGGTATTTTTGCATTTCAACAAGCTGTCAGTCAAAGAGATTTTCAGGAGATTTATTTCTTTTCCTTTGACCCATCCCGTCATAACTCCTTGCAGTCTGTCACTGTCATTGTAGCAGTGATGAAGTGAAGAATGTCACTGCAATGCTGTATATCTCGAAAACTCCCTGTAATGTAGTTAGTATGCCACACACAGGGAGGTTTCTTAAATGTTCCCACTATAACACATCTTTTGATGCTCCTGTCGACTGTGGGCTTAACACTATTTACTCTCTCTACTCGCAATTATCTTTCCAAATCAAGTTTTTTTTTAAGTTTTCGTTTTTTGAAGAAAGTAAATAAAAGTAAAATGTATGTGAAAGGAGCTGAGTGTTTTGACACGGTTGCTCTGTCAAACATGTTTTTGGTTTAAAAAAAAAAATAATAGGATTTATTTACCCCAAATTCATGGAAAAGTAGTCCAGTTTAAGATAATCAAGAACTAGACAGGTTTGTGTAACAGATACATTTAGACGTCTATCTTTAGTATGGCTATTAGTAAGAT